GTTTACCGTGACTCAATAACAACAGGAGACCTGTTTAGTTAACTTTAGTATGCAGATCATATAGTACATTTCACAGGTGGTACAAACCATCTCTTTCAATAGGTAGTAATTTGGAAACATGTATAAAGGACACGTGTACGAAGAAGATTATTTTTTCCATTCTCTGCTTTACATGCATAGAGTCTTATATGCTATTGCTTAGTCCCAAATAGAATATACCAATTGAATTTACTGTTGAGTGAGTAATCAGCACATAGGTAAATTTCATTCGTTTAGTAGATGTACTCTAATTGTGACTACTGCTTGTATTCAAGCCAACATCTTCCAAACTATGGGTTTACACAATGGATACGAATTATAATAGAATAAAAACAGCAGCAGCAGCAGCAACAACAAAAACAACAACACTTTTGCTAGATGTGTTTTTCACACCAAAAACTATTCTTTTCCAACATCTGCCTTACAAGCACTCAAGCTCCACCTTCACTGACCATTTTAATGTAGTTTCAAATCAGTATTGGAGAAAGTGATGGTGACAGGACAGAAAGGTTTTTTCCTTGTAGATATTAATTGGAGATTGTTATTGAGAGACACAGTCCTTCAGATATTTTGGAACCAAGCCATATAGGGCTTAATGGGTCATAACTACACTTTGAATTGTGCCTGGGAACAACTGAAGCTAGTTTAACAGGGAAGTTATATGCTATAACTGGCTAAAAATAAGTAAACAAATCAGAATGATCCATTAAGACACACTATAAAGTATTTACATCATTACTTTGGCAATACAGAGTTAAAGCTAACATTTCCAGTATAGCAAATGTAGAGTTGCCAGCTCCCAACAGGAGTTTGTTGCTCATTCTCTTTAAGTGATCATATGTTGAGACACCAGGACAAAATCAAGCTGTTTTTTCCCTTTTCCACTGGGTTTAGTCATGTTCGTTTTCTCTCCACCCCAATTGTTGTCAAGGGTGTCAACTTTGCAGGGAGAGAAAACTGAAGGATTCAAGTTCCCTTTCAATTTCCCAGGAGGGAAATTGAGACCACCAGCAGCCTGATCTGGCAATCTCCATTAAAAAGTCTTCTTCCAAGAAATCCTGCAAGTGAGCTGGAAGGTTTAAATGATTCCTTGGCTGATGGCTGGAAGTTGAAACAAACAGCACTGAGAAGAAGAGAAGATAATTGAGCCCATACATTGTCTTATACTCCTTGGAAAGAGAAAAAAATGGGGTATAATAAAAATTAAAATTAAAATCCTCAATAGTGTCTCCATATTCATAGAGTTGGAAGAAATCACATGGGCCATCTAGTCCAACCCCCTGCCATGCAGGAAAAACACAATCAAAGCACCCCTGACAGATGGCCACACAGCCTCTGTTTATAAGGCTCCAAGGAAGGGGCCTCCACTACACTCCAAGGCAGAGAGTTCCACTGCTGAACAGCTCTTACAGTCAGGAAGTTCTTCCTAATGTTCAGGTAGAATCTCCTTTCCTGTACTTTGAAGCCATTGCTCTGAGTTAGTCTCCAGGGCAGCAGAAAACAAGCCTTCCTTATGACATCTTTTCCAGTAATTAAACATGGCAATAATGTCTCCTCTCAACCTTCTCTTCTGCAGGCTAAACAGACTCAGCTCTTTAAGCCGCTCCTCATAGGGCATGATCCCCAGACCTCTGATCATTTTAGTTGCCCTCCACTGGACACCTTCCAGCTTGTCAATATCTCTCTTGAATTGTGGTGCCCAAAATTGGACACAGTATTCCAGGTGAGGTCTGACCAAGGGAAAATAGAGAGACACAATTACTTCCCTTGATCTAGACATTATGTTCCTTTTGATACATCCCAAAATCCCATTTATTTTTATAGTTGGTGCATCACATTGTTGATTCATGTTCAACTTGTTCACTAAAACTTCAAGATCTTTTCCACACGTTGTGTTGTTGAGCCAATCATCTCTCATCCTTTATCATTTTATTTTTTCTGCCTAACTGAATTATCCTGTTCTTAGCACAGCTTTACTTAATATGAAATGGCTAAAAGATTGCCTTAGATCTGTCTGAAAGCAAGACAGGTATAACAGGTCTCTAAAGAAATTTCACCTGTGAGCCACATTTGTCTAGATAACTTAATTAATGAAACTGCTAAAATGCAAGCAAGCAAGGAATTATTTGAGTAGGTATTTCTATTATTTTGTTTCTATTCTATTGTTTCTATTGTTTTTATGGTTTATATTATATGTTAATGTTTTAATTATATTTTATGTTATTGGGGGCATTGAATTTTGCCCTTTGTAAACCGCCCTGAGTCGCCTCCGGGCTGAGAAAGGCGGTATATAAATATGGTAAATAAATAAATATTTTATTTTATTTTATTTATTAAAATAAAATAATAAAATATATAAATAAACAAATAAATATTTCCTTCATTGTTGCAATAACTGATTTTGTATCTACAAAACAAATGTTTGATAGTTTTGTTTCTTCTTTTCATGTAAATCCAATAAGCTGTTATAGTTCTAAATGATTCTCTGTCTAAAGTAATGGATGAGAGGGAACAGTGAAAAGCTTAAGCCAGACAAAACAGAGGTGTCAATTGCCAGATGTAAAACAAACTGGGAACAGGGATTCAGTTTATTCTGGAAAGAGTTGCACTTGCCTGGAATGGATTAACAGTTAGAGTTTGGATTCAGTCTTGAGTCTGTCTGTCTGTTGTTGTTGTAAGTTATTCATTCAGTCGCTTCCGACTCTTCGTGATCTTATGGACCAGCCCACGCCAGAGCTCCCTGTTGGCGGTTGCCACCCCCAGTTCCTTCAAGGTTAAGCCAGTCACTTCAAGGATAACATCCATCCATCTTGCTCTTGGTCAGCCCTCTTCCTTTTTCCTTCCATTTTCCCCAGCATCATTATCTTTTCCAAGCTTTCCTGTCTTCTCATTATGTGACCAAAATACTTCATCTTTGCTTCTAATCTCCTTCCCTCCAGTGGGCAATCAGGCTTTATTTCCTGGAGGTTGGACTGGTTTGATCCTCTTGCATTCCAAGGCTTGAGTCTGTATGTACAGGTTTTAACACTAGCCAAGAGTAGAGTTGCCACATTGAAAACTGGATAGCACTATCTCTTATTTATTGATTCTGTGGCACCCTGCTTCTTAAATGGTGGGTCACCTTAGTTCGAAACTGGGTTGTGAAAAATTTGGCAGCAATAAAAGGTTTCTGAACACCAGCTAGAGGCTGTTTTAGACATTTACACAAATCTGTTGTGCAGTGTTAACAGTAGACTCTGCAGGAAATGCTTCAGCTGTACTTCATAAAAGATAAATCAGCCTTGCAAGTAAATGTTTGATTTTTATACGTATTTTATATATCTATGTATCCAGGGTCATGTACAAATTTGTAGAGTGGAAAAAGGTCGCAAATGGGAAAAACTTAAGAAGCCCTGATTAGGAATTTAAGCAAATATTGCTTGTCATGCAGTTGTGACAGTCAGTCAGTCATGCCCCATTCTGTACTGTGCTGGTCAAAGACCGTAATAAATCACTGATTGACTGACTGCTTGTCATGCAACCAGATAATGCGCAACACCTACAACCTCATCAGATGGGTTACTTTCGGCGACATGCACCAGATCTTCTATAGTTTTACAACAGAGCCAGACGACTCCCATCCCACAATGTTGAACTACTTCCAGCGGGGCTCTAGATTTGAATCAGTGGAGGAAACTGGATGATGCTGGCATGGGGCGATGGTTTCCCCGTGCAGGGCACTGTCAGATTCGCCACAATGCATGGCAATTCCAGTAGCCCATCTGATGAGGTCACTATAGAACCATTAAGGTCTGAGATACCTCTTTGTTTTTTTATTCTAGCAACAACAGCCAAGGAATGGCTTTGCGACAGTACTTGTTCCTGGGGTTGCCTGATTACTGTAGTGAGATGTGGCTTGGGACCTTGGACCTCATGAGACAGACAGAGAGAAAGCAGAGAAAAGAGGAACTGCCTTCCTTCATTCCCTACCACCTTTCCCTGTCTTCTGGGATAGGCTCCCGCCTCACATTGTTTCCCATCCTTTCTTGACATTTCCCCGCTTCCATTCTGGGTCAAATAGAGGCTTTTTTTCAAACCCAGAAATAGCTTTCAGTCTATTAACTTCTTCAGAAAAATACCTTTCCTAGGCCTAGAGAGGATGCAGGCACCCTCTCAGAGACATTGGGGCACACAGAGGGCATGGCCTTTCAAGTTTCAGTGAATAACATGTGTGATTTCTCACTCCAGTTGTATGATGTGATAGTAGACTAATTCTAATAATTGAATCCCTGCTATTAAAGAAGCCATTGTTCTGTTCACATTGCACATTTGTTCATCTTTCATTCCTTCTAAACTGCACGACAAATGATATTTTAGTATTCCCACCCAGCAATCTGAGCCAGATTCATTTTGCCTGTTGTGATATTCAAGAAATGGAGCTTGTTGCTAAAGACTCTGTTAGAATGACCAAGAAGAGGCATATTGTATGTCAGATGCAATGCAGGACAATTACTACATTCATGTCCTCTATGTGATCTAAATATTAATGAAGGCAGCATTTACGAGAAGGATTGGCAACTATACTTCCTTTTTTCCAACCCCTGTAATCCAGAAGTTCATTTCTCACTAACGTCCTGCAAGTCCACAGCTGGTAAGAACCATATGATTCACCGTATGACTCCAACATACACACTACAATGGAGAACCCAACATTTCAGAAATCATCATCTGTATATGGCTTAGTCTGTGTCAGTTGCACAAATATAGCTATAGATTCAATGCTGTGGGCAAGTTCAGTTTAAATGAGTCCTATGAGTCTAATGCAACTATCCAAATTTGACTAATTCATAATTATTAAATTGAAAGCCAAAATGTCTGCCACCTTCAGCAGCATCTGCGCCTACATGTTAGCTAAATGACATTGAGTGTGTAATTTCCATAGCTTGGCAAGTATCCCAGATTTGTTTTTGTTTGTTTTCCAGTTGTGAACTACTGTGCTTTGAATAACCAGGGCTGTCAACACGAGTGTGTCAACACTGAAGATTCCTACTACTGTCAGTGCCGGAAAGGGTTCATTCTCAATCCAGATAAAAAAACATGTAGAAGTAAGTTGTTCACTTCATAAGCAATGAGGGGCAAACATAGGATGGCAGCCTGTGCTTGACAGGGTTACATTCCCCCTGAGGACAGGTCCACAGTCTGGGGGTCCTCCTGGACTCACTGCTGACACTTGAGGTTCAGGTGTCAGCAGTGGCTGGGAGGGCCTTCGCACTGTTAAAACTTGTGTACTTCAAAAAGCCAGACTTGGCCATTGTGTTCCATACCTTAGTTACATCCAGAATGGACTACTCTATGTGGAGCTGCTTTTGAAGATTGTTCGGAAGCTGCAACTAGTGCAAAGGTTGGCTGCCAGATTACTAACTGGAGCTAGTTACAGGAACGTATCACACCCCTACTCAAGCATCTCCACTGGCTTACAACAAGTTTCTGGGCTCAGTTCAGGGTGCCCTATATGCTTCGGGTCCAACCTATCTTTGAGACCACATCTCTTTCTATGAACTAGTGCGGGCTCTGAGATGGACAGCGGAGGCCCTTATCTTGGTCCCACCACTGGCTCAAGCGCAGTTGGTGGGGATGAGAGAGAAGGCCTTCTCTGTGGTGGACCCATGGCTCTGGAATACTCTCCCAAAAGAGATTAGATTAGCCCCCTCCCTTCAGTCCTTCCATTCCAACCTGAAAACGTGGATGTTCAGACAGGCCTTTGACCTTGAGTTGGCTGAATGGGCACATATGAAGCTGACACTTGGCACCTTGTGAATTGACAGCAGTTAGTTTTATCTACTGTTGTTTTAAAATTGTATTATTTTGATTTTATGCTACATGTGTTGATGGGGGTTGTTGTTATAATTTTATTGACTTGTCTTATACTTTTGTACTGTTTTTACCTGTTGTACACCCTGGAGTGCCATGTAAGCCGCCCCGATTCCCTTCAGGGAGATAGTGGCGGGATATAAATAAAGATTATTTTACTGACACCACAGTATGTCACAGCAAACGAGATCTATATGCTGGATTTCATATCACAAAATCATAAATTGAACACTTCTCAAGTGTCTAGGACTGTGTGATGTATTTTCAATGATGTATGCAGATCCAAGTAAGGTGGCCTTTTGCAGTTGACAGATTGTGATTTTGTCAATGTTTATTGTTTCCAAATGCCGGCTGAGATCTTTTGGCACAGCACCCAGTGTGCCAATGACCACTGGGACCACCTGTACTGGTTTATGCCAGAGCCTTTGCAGTTCAATTTTGAGGTCCTGATAACAGCTGAGTTTTTCCTGTTGTTTTTCCTCAATGCGACTGTCACCTGGTATGGCGACATTGCCATGCAAAGAAAGTGTGACAAAACTTAAATGCCTGTTTCTCAAAACACCCTCTATCCCTTTCCATGCAAAAGGTCTCACATTTCCAATGGAAAAAGTATTACAGAGGAATTACTGGAAGCTTATATTCTATTAGAGGAAACAATACTAGGCTAAATGACATAAAATTAGTCATTTATGCATGTTTAATGCTTACTTGTATGTCTACATATATGATTAAGTGTAGCCCATATTTTTCACATGAACACGATACATGTGTATATAACCTATTATTTTCCTGTTTTTAATAGGGATCCCTACAACTTTATTATTTTTATATTGATGGAAAGATAATGTCCTGCTTTTAGGGCAAACTGGTTATAGGAAGCTGCTAGCTGAGAAAGAAGAATTTATTTTTATGACAGCATGTATACTTTTTGTACTTTCTGCAGCTGTTTTCTTAAACATGTTTTCATAATCTTCAGGACCAGGCTACTGTGCTTTGCAAAATCATGGCTGTCAGCAGGAGTGTGTCAACACAAATGAATCCTATTTCTGCCGATGCCAGCAAGGATTTACTCTTAATCCAGATAAGAAAACTTGCAAAAGTATGTTGTCCTAAAGAGTATAGTAAGTTCATCTGCTTTTACTCTTCAACATTATTGTCATAGCTGCCCCTTCAATTGTTGCCTGATAATATACTTTGTTCTTATGTCTAATTATACAGCCCAACATAAAAAAACATTGGTGTCATGGTTTGTAGGCCTGTTTCTGGGGTTATTTGGATTATCGATTCAGAAAATTTCATTGGATAGACCACATCAGCTCTAGTTTCTTAGAAATGGCTAGCAGTTGAAGGGTGGTATATGGCATATATTCTGTATCAAAAAATCTGGGGCTGATAGGGGGAAATTGGTGCCATTTTTGCAATCAGCAGTTCAGATATACGCAGAAACAGGTCTAACATTTAAAGCACCAAAATGTGTGTTGGACATGCTATAATTCTTAAAATCAATCTACCATCTCATGGATATACAAATACTATATTTGCCCAATTGTTGGACTCCTTTGTTTTATAGCTCTTCTAAAATGATCACACTAGAGAATGAATCCACTTTAAATCTGGCTGCTGCCTCCTGCAGAATTCTGGGATTTGTAGTTTAGGGAGGAGCCTTTAACAGTCTCACTAAACTACAAACCCCAGAATTCTGCAGGAGGCAGAAACTGGATTTAAAGTGGATTCATCCTCTAGTGGGATGAAGCAGTAAGACTAACCATATTTCTAAAGCATTGTGTAATTTTTAAAAGTTGCATTGGACTATGATAAACAAGACTTGGGGGTGCCCCTGGTGGCACAATGGGTGAAAGCCTTGTCCCGGCAGGACGGCTGACCGACAAGTTGGTGGTTTGAATCCAAGGCGGGAGTGAGCTCTCGTCTCAGCTCTAGCTTTCCATGCGGGGACATGAGAGAAGCCTCCTACAGAATGGTAAAACATCAAACATCTGGGTATTCCCTGGGCAACATCCTTGCAGACTTGAAGCTTCACAAGTTGCTCCTGACACAAAATAAAAACAAGGCTTGGTTATGGTATTATTATTTGTGCCTGACTGTAATGGCTGATAATGGGTACAGGGTGTTTTTGAGAAGCATGCAGTTAAGTATTTTATAAGAAATAAAAAGACCCATGCATTTTGGACAGTATAGGCAGTCCCCAAGTTAAGAATGGGAAAGATTCTGCAGGTTTTTTCATTGAATTTGTTTGTAAGTTAGAACAGGTACATTTTCTAAGTGCAACTCCAGCCAAAAATATATTTCTTATCTTTGAATAGCATAGGGAAGGGTTAATACACCTGTGGTGTTTGTTTTGCTGTCTGTGCTACCATTCAGAAGAGTTCACTTCACTTTCTGTCCCTGTGATCATTGGATTTTGAAAAAACTGGCTTGCTGTGGAAACAAGGATTGGTGATAAAGCTTCAGTGGTGACATCTTTCCCCTATGATATCTCTTCCAGGAGTGAATTTCCCTTCCTAGTGACATATTTCTATCACTTCCTGTTGTCTCACCCCTGTTCTTAACTATGAGTCATTTGCAAGTTGAATGCTGTAACTTGGGGACTGCCTGTAATACATATATAAATTGAAGATTACAAAATTAGAAGCCATCCTCAAGTTGTGATAGCCTGCAGTGTGATAGCCTTTGGAAACTCTGTCACAGGATCATACAGCTGGAAAAGATCAGAAAGGTGATCCAGTCCAACCCCCTGCCTTAGAATTATAGAATCATAGAATCATAGAGTTGGAAGAGACCTCGTGGTCCATCCAGTCCAACCCCCTGCCAAGAAGCAGGAAAATTGCATTCAAAGCACCCCTGACAGATGGCCATCCAGCCTCTGTTTAAAAGCCTCCAAAGAAGGAGCCTCCACCACACTCCAGGGCAGAGAGTTCCACTGCTGAACAGCTCTCACAGTCAGGAAGTTCTTCCTAATGTTCAGATGGAATCTCCTTTCTTGTAGTTTGAAGCCATTGTTCCAAGTCCTAGTCTCCAGGGCAGCAGAAAACATCCCTATGACTTCTTCTCACATATATGGCTATCATGTCTCCTCTCAGCCTTCTTTTCTTCAGGCTAAACATGCCCCGCTCTATAAGCCACTCCTCATAGGGCTTGTTCTCCAGACCCTTGATCATTTTAGTCGCCCTCCTCTGGACACATTCCAGCTTGTCAATATCTCTCTTCAATTGTGGTGCCCAGAATTGGACACAATATTCCAGGTGTGGTCTAACCAAGGCAGAATAGAGGGGTAGCATTACTTCCCTGGATCTAGACACTATGCTCCTATTGATGCAGGCCAAAATCCCATTGGCTTTTTGCCACCACATCACATTGTTGGCTTATGTTTAACTTGTTGTCCACGAGGACTCCAAGATCTTTTTCACACGTACTGCTTTGCAAGAGAACACAACCAAAACACTCCTGACAAAAGGCCATCCAGCCTCTATTTAAAAAACGTCCATAAAAGGAGACTTCACCACACTCCATGGCAGCATCTTCCACTGCTGAACAGCACTTACCATCAGGAAGTTCTTCCTAATGTTATAATTTTTCCTAATGCTATCCCCTTGCAAAATCATAACTACCTTCAGAAACTTCAAACTGTTTATTTGACTTTGATTTGTTAACAGTTAATGGGATAGACACGTTAACCAGTTTACATGCTGATTTTTAATGAATGCTTTAAAGTATGTTGTCGAAGAATTTTATGGCCAGAATTTTATGGCTGTGAATTTTCTGGGCTGTATGGCCATGTTCCAGAAGCATTCTCTCCTGATGTTTCTCCCACATCTATGGCAGGCATCCTCAGAGGTTGTGAGGTCTGTTGGAAACTAGTCAAGTGAGGTTTATACGAGGGTTGAATGAAAAGTAATGCCCTCACCTTCGTAACTCCAACAGACCTCACAAACTTTGAGGATGCCTGCCATTATGTGGGAAACGTCAGGAGAGAATGCTTCTGGAACATGGTCACAGAGCCCAGAAAACTCACAGCAACCCAATGCTTCAAAATATCCTTTGCTTCTCCACATCGTTACCTGGAATGAAAACCTTTCTTTGCTTGTCACAGGAATAAATATCTGTGCCTTGGGAAAACATGGCTGTGAACATGAGTGTGTTAATACTGAAAGCTCATATATGTGCAGATGTCGAACAGGATACACCCTGAACCGTGATCGAAAAACATGCAGAAGTAAGTTCATTTGAATTGTGGAAGAGATAATTTGGACAGTGGACTGAGTTTCGAAACAAATTTCTGCTTGAAATATTCTAAGAGTCGTGTTGTCAAAGGCTTTCACGGCAGGAATCACTGGGTTGCTGTGAGTTTTCCGGGCTGTATGGCCTTGTTGGCAAAACATCAGGAGAGAATGCTTCTGAAACATGGCCATACAGCCCGGAAAACTCACAGCAACCCAATCTAAGAGTTGTTTTAAAGGGTGCTTTTGCTATTTTAGCAAAAGTAAGGCGGCTGAGATACTGCCAACAAGTGGCTTAATGTAACAGGTAAGAACATTGCCATGGAGTTTTCGGAAGAGGAACAGTTTGTTATTGGAACATATTGGAATCCCTTACCTTTGAGAGAATAATTGTAACCAAATAAATTAGAATAGTCCTAACTGGTTTGTGTGTTCGTTTTGGACCTTTGTGTCCCCCCCCTCCTCAATTTCTGATGTAAAACAACTCATATTCTTGCATGTCAGGAAACACTATATACTCATTGTGCTTAATACAGCTGGCACATATTTTTCCAAATTTCTAGATGCTCTCCACTTCCATGAACCAAACAGTGCAATTGCTTTGGTTTGACACAGTTATCACAGAAGCGAACAAGCTCTATCATGGGCATGGACAAACTTTGGCCCTCCAGGTGTTTAGGTCTACAATTCCCACCATTCCTAACAACCTCAGGCCCCTTCCTTTTCCCCGTCAGCCGCTTATGGGGAAAAGAACAGGGCCTGAGGCTGTTAGGAATTGTGGGAGCTGAAGTCCAAAACACCTGGAGGTCTGAAGTTTGCCCATGCCTGCTCTATCACAATCATAAAAAATCACAGGCAGATTTTGTGATGGAATGAAAATCATGTATTGTGCTGTCGCACGCTGGGCCTGTGATAGTGTCTGTTTGCAGGATGTGCTTTCTGAATGCCCAATGGGACGCCGGGGTGCCTCAGCTGAGAGGCCCTATAGATTTCCCAACACAAAGTTCTGTAGAGGCTCAAAATAAGTACAATGAAGTTCTTTATTAAGGCTTAAATCTTCAAACAAATAGATAAAATGCTGGCTGTAGAAATGAAGCCTTTTGCAGGTTGGAGAGAAAAGCCCACACATCCTGTCTGTTAGGCTTCAAGCTGTGAAATTGAACTAAAAGTCCATTTTCCCCTCCAAACCTGGGGAAAGGGGTGGATCTAAAGGCTCTAATGATGATTGATAGGTTGCTGGACCCATGAATGCAACCTGAGGAAAGCTACCCAATTGCAAAATGCAAGGCCCAAATGAATTCAAATGAACTAACAGTGCAAGAAAAGAAAATTCGAATCTCCTGGCACAGCTGTGCCAGCACATGTATAGTTCACCTCTTTACCAATTCACACACTGTCTTGCTAAAGAAAAGATATGCCATGCAGATGATCAGTAAATAATAAGGTGTTTACTCTTTGTTATGCAGAGCAACATATATACAGTCATTGACTCATACAATGTCCTTTGAGAGAGATTCAAATGGTCCTTGAGTATCCATGTGAAGAGTCTTGTTTCAGCAGCCCAGAAGCAGAAAATTATACTAAACTTGTCTTGGCAAGCTCCCTGCACAGAAAACCTAAAAATGTAACTGTTGCCAAAACTTCCAGGCTCAGCTAGCCTCTTGAACATGACCCAACTAATCAGCTTTGTGCTTTGCATTTTTCAGTTAACACACTCACTGATTTTTACATGCTCCAACAGATTTCTGTGCATTTCAGAAATGCAAGCTGCATTTGCAGGGATATTTTTATGCATTTTAACAAGCCAGTTTTACAGGCATTTCCAACTGGCCAACTATGAACTAGCAAAAGGTTAACAGGGCAGCTAGTTTGAAAGAGGATTTTCCCCTCTTTCCTTTTCGCCACACCCCCACATTTTGGATCTTGTTGTTTTCCCCCAAAAAGTGCTAAGCTCTGTACTGCCTGAGCCAACACAGAGAGAAATGTACATTCATAAAAGCACGTATCATCGGAGCCTTCCAATTATTCTTTCTTGGGCTGCAAATCTCTGTTGCGTGAATAGCTGATGTTATGTCTCTTCTGATGGGAATCAGGAAAACATAACCATGATCATGATTATAAGAGTGATGTTTAAATACCCGCATTTATAGGCTGAAATTCTAGACCTACTGCAGTAAAATATGAAGTCACAATTACATCATGAATGTCATGTACTAGCCTCAACAAAGAGCTTCAACTGAAAATACTTAAACCAGCATTTCTCAACCTGGGGATTGGGACTCCTGGGGGGGGGGGGGGAGTCACAAGGGTGTTTCAGAAAGGTCACCAAAGATAATCAGAAAACATATATTTTTGATGGTCTTAGGAACCTTTTTGGCAGAGAAGCTGAAGATCTCTCCACCTGTCCTCTCCTTTTTGGAAATAGACGGTGAATCCTCCCCAAGAGTCCTCCTCTGCTGTGATTGGCCGACCTCTCAGCTGGCCTCTCAGCGAAGAGGAGGGCTGTTTCTGAGACTCAAGAGAGGAGGGGAGAACAGGCGTGCATGGTGTGGATGTGTGGGTGAGGGAGAGTGTGCGAGGCTGGATGGAGGCTCACACCAGTGATTCCCTTCAAGCCGGGGGGGGGGGGGTCTGTGTGGGAAGTTTAGCCCAATTCTATCATTGGTGGGGGTTCAGAATGCTCTTTGATTGTAGGTGAACTATACATCCCAAATGTCAAGGTCTATTTTCCCCAAACTCCACTAGTGTTCACATTTGGGCATATTGAGCATTTGTGCCAAGTTTGGTCCAGATTCATCATTGTTTGAGTCCACAGTGCTCTCTGAATGTAGGCAAACTACAACTCCAAAACTCAAAGTCAGTGCCCACCAAACCCTTCCAGTGTTTTCTGTTGGTCATGGGAGTTCTGTGTGCCAAGTTTGGTTCATTTTCATCATTGGGGTAGTTCAGAATGCTCTTTGATTGTAGGTGAACTATAAATCCCAGCAACTACAACTCCCAAATGACAAAATCAACCCCCCCAACCCCACCAATATTCAAATTTGGGCATATCGAGTATTTGGTCCAGTGAATGAAAATGCATCCGCATATCAGATTTTTACATTACAATTCATAACAGTAGCAAAGTTACAGTTATGAAGTAGCAATGAAAATAATTTTATGGTTGGAGTCACCGCAACATGAGGAAGTGTATTAAAGGGCCGTAGTATTGGGAAGGTTCAGAAACTCTGACTTAAACTATCATGAAGTAGGATATCTCAGGCCCAGCTCTCAGCAGTATCATTGTCCTTGCTAACCAGATAATGCATCATATTAGTACATTTCAGCAACAAAACATACACAAATAATAGTAATTGCTAAAATACTAACACATTTTAATATAATACAACTGATGAAGTGGACAAGAGTCCACTTCATCAGATGGAGATGTGATCATCACTTGGCAAATATGTAGAAAGATTAGTGTTATGAGGATGGATTATTAAAAGTGGAATCAGATGGCAGTAAAATATAAAATTTGGTCTTAAAATGAAATGAGAATTCACAATAACACCGATTGATTGTGTCCTTGTGGGATGCTCCTTAATTAAACACTGTGTAATCTGAATATTAATGTTTGAATAAATCCCAGGGCTTTCTATTCTCTTGCAAACATTATGATTCAGGAATCGACCGCTGTGCTGAATCCAACCATGGATGTGAACAACTGTGCCTGAATACTAGGGAGTCCTATGTTTGTCAGTGTTCAGAAGGATTTGTCATTAATGAGGACCTCAAGACTTGTTCACGTAAGTCTCTTGATCAAGGGTGCCTATACAATTAAGCAGGTTTTAAAAAAGAAATAGTTGTAAGATAATGCCATTCAAAATAGTAGTTCATGGACCAGAACTAGTCTGCAAACAAATGTCCGCTGACATGTTTCCACAATGGGCCTCCCGGTGGTACAGCAAGTTAAACCGCTAAGCTGCTGAACTTGCTGACCAAAAGGTTGGCGGTTCAAATCCAAGGAATGGTGTGAGCTCCCACTGTTACGGTCAGCCTCTGCCAACCTAGCAGTATGAAAACATCCAAATGTGAGTAGATCAATAGGTACTGCCTTGGCAGAAAGGTAATGGCGCTCATGCAGTCATGGCAGCCACATGAGCTTGAAGGTGTCTATGGACAATGCAGGCTCTTCGGCTTAGAAATGAAGATGAGCACCATCCCCTAGAGTCTGACACAACTAGACTTAATGTCAAGGGAAAACCTTTACTATATTTCCACGAAAAAGAAAGCAGTTGTAATCAATTCGTACATCCATGGTACTATTCCCTGGCACTTTTATTTTTTAAATGCTGCAGTTTCCCGAATCATATAATTATTTCTCAAGATGTTGTTGAAGGCTTTCATGTTCAGAATCACTGGTTTGCTGTGAGTTTTCTGGGCTGTATAGCCATGTTTCTCAAGATCCAGCAGAACATTTAATGACATAGCTTAAATAAGACGCAGCACTTTTTACTTCTAGCTGTTCTAATCCAGGCCAGCGTGTCTGTTGGAATCCATAAAAGAAAACACAACTCACTTACTGAAATAGTTAAACCAACCTACTCATGGAAAGAGTTATTTCCTGGGCAATAGAGAAAATGTTTATTCATTCTGGTGCTTTATTTTCCTCCAGCCAACACTTGGGATTTCCATCAAGAGCTCTAAAATTATTCATTTACCGCAAGGCTCCTGTGTATTAAGCCTTGATCTTATGATTATTCCTCCTGGATATTCTTTTTATGTGCCAAGATGTCTCATTCATTATTTAGAAACAGGCGCTGTTTGACTTCAGGTTTCCTGCTAAGCTGCTAAAAAGAGCCTTCAGGGTTATATTGATTGAATGGCACGAAAGGACAGCTGGCATGCAATGCTGTGCCAGGATTTCACGCCACATATATAAGCATCTGAGCCGAACCCTTTCATATTAAACATTTATAGCACTATGATTTTACTTTAAGGGCAGGAGCGATATCAGGCTTGGACACCCTGCAGGTGTTTTGGACTTCAACTCCCATAATTCCTTAAGCGGCAGAGAGAGAAAGGGCCTGAGGCTGTTAGGAATTCTGGGAGTTGAAATCCAAAATACCTGGAGGGTCAACGTTTGTCCATGTGTGGGCTATATCCTCAGGAACCTGGGATTTGTAGGTTTGTGAGACACTAGAATTCTCTAAGACTAAATTGTCGCTCTAAACTGCAAATCCCAAAATGTCAGTTAAAGTGTAATGACAGTGCTCTAACCGTGTAGCATAAAAGAGCCCAAGTCAGACATGAATCCTTTCCATACATCCCACAAATTCGAGAATAAAATTTGATAGTTTCACTTTTCTTGGCTTCTTTCTATCTTCTCAGACCAAAACAATAGCTAAGTTTCATTTGTTTTATGTATTGTTGAAGGTTTTCATGGCTGGAATCACTGGGTTGTTGTAGTTTTCGGGCTATATGGCCATGTTCTAGAAGCATTCTCTCCTGACGTTTCACCTGCATCTATGGCAAGCATCCTCAGAGGTGATGGTCCTCACAACCTCTGAGGATGCTTGCCATAGATGCAGGCGAAACATCAGGAGAGAATGCTTCTAGAACATGGCCATATAGCCCGAAAAACCTACAACAACCCAGTTCATTTGTTTTGATTTATCTAGATTTTATAGATCTTGTATTTCACAGCAGTATGGTCTTTGCTCCCTTCTTTGTCAAAACGTATACATGGCTCATGTTCTACAATGAATAATAATATCATTTTTCCTTCTCCAGGAGTGGACTATTGTTTGCTGAGTGACCATGGCTGTGAACATTTGTGTGTGAACAGAGAAAGATCCTATACTTGCCAGTGCTTTGAAGGATACATGCTGCGTAGTGATGGGAAAACATGTAAACGTAAGTTAGCTGTTCTCAAATCTTGTTGATTTGTGTACTCTATAAAATAAATGAACAACGGGAACACTAAGTAATACTATGAGTAACCACATTCCCCATCAAGTTAAAAAAAACGCAATCCAGAAATGACAAACTGTCACGTTTGATAAAAGAGAAATTCATAGAACAACTTTTTAAATGGCTAGGAATTTTTTATAACTTATATAAATCAGGGAATGTGAAGTTATTTGTGGGGTTGAATAATTACAAGAAACAAATGAAATTAGAAGATAGAAAGAGAGATCTGATATATAATATGACTAGCTGTGCCCTGCCACGCGTTGCTGTGGCCTATAGTAAAACTTATCAAAGTTGAGGTAGATATCTAGACTATTATGAAAGAGAGGTCCCTACCTATTCCTTCCCCCTTTTCCTCCCCCTTTCTCTCCTTTCTTCCTTCTCTACCTCTTTCTTTCTTTCCTTCTTTCACTACTTGGTTTCATCCTTCTCTCTTTCCTTCATTCCCTCCCCCTTTCTTCCTTTGCCTTTCTTCCCTCCTTGTTTGCTTCCTTCTTTCACTTTTTATTTCCTTTTATTTCACCACCATCATAACAATAACAATAATGCAATGCATTGCCTCTGGGACCTGACACCTCTCCCATTCCCCCTAAAAGGGTCTCATAGGAATAATAAGCATATAATAATAATAGAAATAACAACCTTTACCCGCCACGTGTTGCTGTGGCCAACCTTCCCTCTTTCTCTCCTTCTTTCCCTCCCTCCTTCCTTCCTTCCTTCCTTCCTTCCTTCCTTCCTTCCTTCCTTCCTTCCCTCCCTCCCATCTTTCCTTCTTTCTCTATCTCTTTCCTTCCTTCCCCCTTTTTCTTTCTTTTCTGCTGTCTCTCTTTTCTTTCCTTCCATCTTTCCTTTTCTTTCCTTTTCTTCTTCTTCTAACTTTCCTTCCTTCCCCCTTTTTCTTTACCT